TAAATCTATCTAAATCGAAAAAAAGTTGACCGACACCCCCCTTTGAGAAATGAGATTTTTGTGGAGAGCATCTCGGAAGATTTATTAATTGCTTTTTAGTTTAATTTCTCTCTTTTATCTGTGATTGTCTCCATCATTTTTTTAAATTAATTTGCTAACATGGAATTCAGTCCTATCAATTTCACTTCTAACATTACAATCACACTTTTGAAGCTTCATGAATCAGGATTTTTCTTCTTCATAATTTGCCATTGCAGATTGATTTTAAAGAAAGGCGAGAGCTCCCATTCTTTACCATTATAAACTTTTACTTTATTTTAGGGGCATTTACATGGTACATAATTCTTGTGTATTCACATATTTCTCACTTAAATTTTCATATTTACACACATTTCACTAAGGTTTTTAATATCACATAAAAAAATAGTACTATTACCATTAAAAAAACAAGACGAAATACACATTTTCATGCATAGGTTTAAAGCACCAAAGTGCAATGCACATGTTATGAAAAATACTAAATAGTAAGCTTGTATTTTAGGTAACCTAATTAAAAGAGTTTTAATTTCAGAGCGTTTCTATGCTAGGCATATTCCTAATATGTAGATAGAAGAGTGTCTGTAAGTATGTAACATATGATGTTAATTAGGGAATAATAAATGAAGTTTTCCTCACATGGTACCAGAGCTACGCACACCTCCTTTGTTCGACGTCATCCCTGCTTGTAATTGTGGCCTTGACCGCATCGATCACCTTTGTCGACGTCGATCGTTGCTTCGTTCATCGTCAATCCGCGCTGCCTCGTTCGTCGAAGCTCCCTCTTGGATCGTCTGCATCGTTTGTCAAAGCAAGTGCGATCCTAACTCACCATGGTTCTGTGCATAGTGCGACCTTGTCCGCACCGATCGAAACCTCCTCTTCCTACGAAGGGGTTAGCGTTTTTGTCAAAGCTTGGTCTGTTACTTCATTGTCATCACCTTCGTCTTCTGCGCCTTCTTTGTCATTGTCGACTTCGCCTGGAAGCAATTCGTTTGCGGCGTCATCATTCGTCTTCTGCTTAGTCTCGTTTTGGCTTCACTGACGCCTGCTTAGGTCTATTTCCTCATTTGTTGTGCTCTGTTGTCTACTTGTTCTTCAAGTTATTTGTGCATTTTTGGATTTGTCGACTTTTACTTAGGTCTATTTCCTTGGTTGTTGCGTTCCGTTGTCTGCTTGTTCTTGGAGTTATTTGTCAATTCGTCCTTCAATAGTGAATGATACCTATTATAGCTTGTGAACACAAACATTTTGTGATTGGTTTGGTTTCATCAGTTACTAAGATTGCATAAATGACATCAATTATTTATATTGAAATAACTGTGAGATTCTATTTAAGGAGTATTTTTTAAGAGAGTTGCCTCACTAATAATCCTCTAGTTGAGACCAAGTCAAACTATTTTGAGTGGATGCTCAACTTTCGATACAACTACGAAATTTCATCGAATCTTATCAATTCAGTCATATTACTTACTGCAACTGTGTTAAAGATGCGACGAAGGAATTGATGTGTGTTTTTTGGGAGAGAATATTTCTTGAACATTTGATGTATGTAAGAAATTCTATCGTGCTGAATAATATGATCTGTCACTTAACACACATCACATGCACTTTAAATATATGCATGAAGAATTGAACGCACTATTGTCCTCTAGCATATATTTTTGTTTTTAAAAGTATTAAAGAGAGTAAATGACTATCATGTGTTTTCTAGTTGTCCTAAACTCTCAGTGTAAATGTGTCAAATCACACATTTTATCTGACCCTGGATTGCCCTGGATATATGACTTTGAGGGAAGCCTATAGTTTAATTTTTCGTATGATCCTGGGTTCTCGAGCCTCATTCATACAACAATATAGTGCCTTTGCTAGTTATAAAAATAAAGACATCAGTAAATCTCAGTCTCAAGACAATTATTGAAGTGAAACTCCAAATTCTAGATATCAAGGAATTCGTAAAATCAAGGGTCAAAAGTAGTGTGCTATTAATGTCACTAACTTGGTCATACAAAAAGAACAAATTAGAAGTTGCTCAAAAAAGAACTAAAAGGGTTTTAAATCACAATCTGCTCACATTGTCACTACCACCCTTCGAGTTAAACTCTTGATCTTTGCAGATGAATATACCAAGTTCATCAAATTTCAGGAAGCATACAAGGAATCTCCATCCATGACTGCTCTTGCCGAGTTAGGTAAGAATCATACTTATCTTCTTTCATTTTGCATACAAGGAATCATTGCTTCTATTGCTACAGTTCTCATGACAGATAATCCAAAACAATTTTCTACCTTTCATAAACACCTATGTTCTATTACCTTAGCAGATGAATCCACCTTTAGTGTTCTCAGTTCTGATAACATCAATATTACACCCATATTGCCTCTAACTTCTATTTTCAATTTACGTCATTTTGTTTTTAATCATATTCCTGCTAACAAAATTACACGTGATTTTAATTATTATATCTTATTATTTCCCGATGATTGTCAATTTTAGGACCTTATGACAGAACATTTTTATTAAAGGGCGAGAATCAAGGAGATTATATATTATGGATAATGAAGTTCTTTGACCTGCAACCCGTTGCATACCTTATCTTATTTTGAGATTCATTATCTATTAAGGCACTCTTTTTTATCAATGTTGAAAGAATTGTACCTCCAATTTCAACAATTATTTTAGCTTGTGCGTTGTGTCAATTTGCAAAATACAATCGATTGTATTCTGTTCCTAGAGTTATTAAAAGAGCCATTCATAGTTTTGAGTTGCATCATTTTGATGTGTGGAGACATTGTCCCATTTTGTCTAATTAATTTTGATTCTTTGTCATTTTTGTGGATGATTTTTTTTCTCGTACGACTAGGCTTTACTTTATGAAATCTCGTACTAATGTATTATCACATTTTCAATCCTTTCGCGCAAAGTTAAATCTTAATTCAATATTTCAGTTAATATTCTGATAAGTGATAATGCCAAATAATATTTTCTTACACCCCTTCAGAAGTACATGGCTTAAAAAGAGATGCTTCACCATTCATCGTGTGTCGATTACCTATCCCAAACTGGAGTATTTGAAAGGAAAAATTGACATCTTCTGGAGACATCTAGGGCTCTTTTGTTTCAAATAAATGCGTCTAAACAATTCCGGGCTAATACAGTTTCTACTGCGTGTATTTTGATCTATCGGATGTCTTCTACTGTTTTACAGAATCAAACACTCTATCAAGTTTTATTTTCAACCAACTCTCTTTTTTAATTGAACTACATATGTTTTGGTGTATTTGCTTTTGTCCGTGGTACTTGCCCACAAGTGTTCAAACTTGATCCTAAGTCATTAAGGTTTGTCATATATTATTGTCTGAAAAAAAATGTATTAATGTTTTTTCCCTCTTAAACAGATTATTCTGTTGAAGTCACATTTCATGAACAAATCTCATTCTTTAGCGACTCATCAGTGTCTAAATCTTCACCATATTCGGATGAGTTGTTAACTCATCACATCATAAGCTTAGATCCTGATCTAGCTCCATCTCCAATGCGTCAACCCAAACCACCTATCACTAATATTTACTAGAGAAAACCTCGCTCCCTTAATCCTAGTGTGGCATCAATATCTTCCTCAATGGATCCCCTTCCTAGTGATCTTGATTTAATAATTGCTCTTTGAAGAGTTAAACATTAATGCACCTATCCTGTTTACTTTTGGGCTGAATATAATTAGTTATCTTCACTTCGTGCTCGATTGCTGCTTCTCTTAATTTTATTGAGCATAGCCCTTAAGTTTATATGACTTATGGGATCGACTACTTGTTGTTTCGGTAGCTAAGTTAAGGGCTACGCTCCAACCATGCCCGAAGGTGCAGAAAGCATTCTGCCGTCCAACTTTACAGAGACCAATTATTCACTGCGGTCAAGAACAAATTACCATTACTTGGGCATGTTGCATACAAAATGATCTTAATTTATTAAAATTAAATGAAAATATGACACTCAATAGGATACAAAAAAAGGATATCAATTTTACTTTATTCTTTGGATCATAACAGGTATATATGCACAGCATGAATAAATTATCTTTGATTTTATTTAACATGCATCTATTTTGCTGGTTGAAAAAAGTTTTAAATGCATAACCACTCAAACATAGATTTGTACATTTCTCCTAAATACATGTATTTGTACTATTAATTCATATTTGCTTATGATTAAGTTTCTTGAAATTTACTTTGATAGTTGAATGTTAGTAATATTATCAAGGAATCTTGCAAATCACATGATTATGCTTAAAGCATTATGGCTAGCTTCATGCCTGAATTTTCTGAGGTGAGTTGCATTGGGATTGCATCTCATTGTAGTATGTCTGAAGATATTCATCTTGAAGCCTGTGATTTCTGCTTATTTACATGGATAACAAATTCTTTTCATCCTCCTACCTGTTTAATTCTTACAAGAATTATTTTACGCTGGCTTTAATTTTATTGCAACACTATCTTTGCACATAATTTGGCAGAGATTGTCAAGTATAATGGCAAACTCATCCCGTATGCTGTTAAAAAGTTGGTTGAGCGATACGAAACAGACCCTAAATCTGCATTGGTGGATATTCTGATGCTGCTTTTTGAGGTCACTTGTTAAACTTGTCGTTTTGTTAATATTGTTCCATTTTCAAATTCTAACCATTTTTTTCTCATTAAGCAGGCATGTGGTGCTAAGTATCAGTTTCATGTGGATAGCATTGAATCTACTGATGTGGATAATGTGGTAGTAAAGCTTGTAGAGCTTGCTAATGCTGTATCCTGAAATTTGAAAATTGAAATTGCTTGTTAAATTAGAACTCAAGTATTTTTATTCGTGAAGTTGTTCTTTGCAATACTGACCAGTGTTATAGACTTAACTTATATGGTTACTAGGGAGAAGTTGAGGATCTCTATACCTCCAAGCGGAAGGAGCTTAAAAACTTCAAGGAAAACCTTGCATTATTTTGGGACACTTTAGTTCTCGAGTGTCAAAATGGGCCATTATTTGATAATATTTTATTTGATAAATGTATGGACTATGTCATTGCATTGTCATGGTAAGTCATCTATTAGAATCTTTCACTGATAATTGAAAGGGGGCATTTAGATACATACCACCCAATTCCTATGTATTTACATATCTAACACCTAAATTTTATTTTTTACATTATACCACCCAAATCATTCACATTACATAAAAAATACCACCATTTAATTTTTAAAAGGTGAAATACACCTTTTCATGCATATGTCAGGTGTTAGATTCATAAATACATTAGGAATTGAGTTGTATGTATGTAAATCTTCCCATTTGAAAACATTAATATCTGCTTTGTTGTTTCTAGTACGCCTCCTAGAATTTATCGCCATGTGGCCACACTTGTGGGCCTTCAGCTCGTCACTTCCCTTATAGCAGCTGCTAAGATACTAGCAGGCCAGCGTGAGACTACTCAGAGACAGTTAAATGCTGAAAAGAAGAAACGGAGTGACGGGCCTCGGGTGGACTCATTGAACAAAAGATTAACCCAGACCCACAAAGTGATAAGTGTCATAGAAGAGATGATGAGGAAACTATTCCAAGGGTGAATTCTCTGGGTTGTAATAATTTTTATTACTTCAATAAAATAAGTTCTCATGAATTTTTTTTTGACAGGTTATTTATGCACCGATACCGAGATGTTGATTCAGACATTCGAGTTTCTTGTATTAGATCTCTTGGTGTTTGGATCTTGTCATACCCGTCACTATTCTTGCAGGATTTATATTTAAAATATCTTGGGTGGACTTTAAATGACAAAGTAGGCCATCTTTTTAAAATTTTTGAATTTTCTCATCCCTCAACTTGATTCTCTTTGTTTTGTCTTCTATTGATCTCATTCTTCTATTATTCTGATTGCATCTGAAGGTTGCTGCTGTCAGAAAAACTTCTGTCCTGTCCTTGCAGAACCTTTATGAAGTGGATGATAATGTTCCATCTCTCGGCCTTTTTACTGAAAGATTTTGCAACAGAATGATTGAACTTGCTGATGATATTGACATTTCTGTTGCTGTTTCTGCCATAGGGCTTCTTAAGCTTCTTCTGAGGTAACCGCACTCACCTCTACTTGTTAAAAAATGTGGCTTTTGTAACTGATCGTTTTCTATGTGGTTTCACAGGCATCAACTTCTTACCGACGAGGAATTGGGTCCTTTATATGATTTGCTCGTTGATGACCCTCCTCTGATTAGGCGTGCTATAGGTGAATTAGTTTATGATCACCTGATTGCACAAAATGTGAAGGGTTCAACATCTGTTTCCAAAGGTACACTATTATAATATTTAGGAAGATTTATATAGATGATACATACCACTAAATTTCTATGTATTTACATATCTAACACCTAAACTTCAATTTTTACACGCATGCCATTTTCCCTATCATAAAAAGGAGTATTTCACTTTTTAAAAGTTAAAGTGGTGGTATGTTTTGATGTGATATGAAAGATTTGGGTGGAATAAATGCAAAAATTAAACTTTAGTTGTTAGATATGTAAAAACATAAGGTTCAGGTGGTATGCATGTAAATGCCTCTAATGTTTATTGTACAATCTGCACTTCCATCTTATGTTCAATCCATTTTATTTGTTAAGCCAAATATATGCTCAGGGGAAGATGATAAAACTTCTGAAGTACACTTGGGAAGAATGTTGCAAATACTTAGAGAATTTCCTGATGATCCAATTCTAAGTGCATACGTTATTGATGATATTTGGGATGATATGAAGGCCATGAAAGTATAGTAACTTCTGCATCGTCATTATTTTGTAAATTTGAAATTAAAACTTATCCATGGAGTGCTGTAAAATCTCGATCGTGAATGATATATTTCGATCCGTATATATATGATAACCTATGATAACCGTGTTTAGAGTTTTAACAGGATTGGAAGTGCATGATTTCCATGCTACTTGATGAATCTCCAGGAATTGAAGTTACTGATGTGGATGCAACTAATCTGGTTCGTTTGCTTAACGCTTCTGCCAAGAAGGCAGTTGGAGAGAAGATTGTTCCATCCACCGATAATCGTAAGCCTCATTATACAAAAGCCCAAAAGGTATGTGATGCTAGATTTTCCTTTCAAGTATCATTATACTGAATTTATAGCTGGATTACCATAGATCCTTAAATTTATGGGCAATTATAATTCTTTGTGCAGACTATGTTAAAAATCAATTTTTATCATGTTTGATTATGATTTCTCTTTCTAGAAATATTATTTTTTTTTGGAAATTTACATACGTGGCACACAGATCTTATGGATTTACATATCGACCCCCCTAAAGTTTGCTATTTATATTTATAACACCTTGGCGCTATAAACTTATACATGATAAGGTACATCTGACTTTTAAAAAGTTAGTAAAATGATATTTTTGATGTGATGTGTTGTTAAAGATTTGAATGTTAAAATTTAAATATTGAAGTCTAGAGGTTAGATATAAGAATTGTGTGGCGTGCTATGTAAATGCCCCCATTTTGTTTGATTTTTTTCTGGTTTGAGGAAGCTTAATTTTTTTGATGTATCCTTTCAATAGTCCAAAGTCACGCACCACTTCAGTTGATATGTGTAGTATCAAGTAATTTTGGAATCAATGGAATCACACCTAATCATGCTTCTTGAATAACTTTTGATGTATCAGATATTTACAAAGTATTATTTTTTCTCTTGCAGTAAAATCTATTTAATGTTACTTTGGTCTTGCTTGTGGATATTTCTTTTGCTGTTGTATTGATACAAATTAACTTTCATTCTTCTCATATTATAAAAATTAACAATCAAGGTTATGCATATTTGTTTATCCTCGGTCTTGCATGCTCGGACTTGCGATTCTTCATTAAACATGTTATGTCTTCAGCAAGTTACATTGGACTGCTTTCAGTTGTTCTTTAAGCTTGGCTTTTCTCAAATTCTTTTCTTGCACCAATTAAAGTTATTAATCGCATAGACTGCCAGTGGACAATGCCTTATGTTTTTATGCTGCTTTGTTTCTCAGGAGGCCCTAGATAATAACAGGAGAGAAATAACAGCTGCCTTAATGAAGAGCTATCCACAGCTGCTGCAAAAATTTATTGCGGATAAAGCAAAGTTACCTGCATTAGTTGAAATTCTTTTGCTTTTGAACCTAGAGCTATACTCACTTAAAAGGCGGGAGCAGGTTTGTTGATTTGCATGCTCGATTTTGTCTTTCCTTACCTTTGTTACTTTACTAAATACGGTTGTTTCTTTACCTTGTTTATTCAGAGTTTTAAGTCTATTTTGGATCTGATTGCCGAAGCATTCTTTAAACACGGTGAGGAGGATGCTTTGAAATCCTGTATAAAGGCTCTTATCTTTTGTTCCACCGAGAGTCAAGCGGACTTGCAAGATTATGCCAAGAATAAGCTAAAAGATCTCGAAAATGAGTTACTAGTTAAGCTGAAGGCTGCCATAAAAGCTGTAAAGGTGCGTGCATATATTTTTTTCTGTATTCCTTTCAATAACATTGAATGAACAGTGACTTTTACTTTGCAGGTTGGAGATGATGAGTATTCTCTTTTGGTTAATTTGAAACGGTTGTATGAGGTTCAGCTGAAGAAAAATTTTGCTAATGATGACTTATACGATGAATTGGCTAGCATTCTTAGAGATGTAAAAGGATTGGATGATGAGGCATGCTTTATATATATATATATTTTTTTTTTTTTAAGTTTTTCTTCTTGGGCATTATCTTATAGATTCTCTTTTTTCAGGTGCTTGGTTTTGTACTTCTCAATATGTATTTACAGGTAGCTTGGTCTTTGTATTCAATTGATGGTGAAAATCCCTCTGAGGTCTCTTTAACGGTGCTTTTGTCCAAGAGAACGAATCTCTTTGAGCAGCTAGAACACCTCATGGACTCCTTGGTCGTAGTCCATGAGGAAAGGCGTCGAACAGTTCTTCCATTCAGAGTAAGTTTTCACTTTTTTATTGCAAATTGAAACCAAAAACATTTTGGATTTCAACATTTATTGTGATCAGCTGATTCAGTAATTCTGTATTCAATACATTGATAGGTTTCCATCATACTAGCAGAAATGTGGAACTTGTTCAAGACGTCAAAATATGCATCCACAAAACTGGAGAGTCTAGGATATTGCCCGGATTTATCTACTGTTCAGAAGTTTTGGAAACTTTGTGAACAAATACTTAACATTTCAGGTTTTTTACAATCCTTGGCCATCATTAATAGGAGATTGATCTGTTTATTGTTTTACATTTTGGACAGGGGCTTCATATTTTCTGTATTATTTATTGAGGCAATAGACATTATATTGCTCATGTAAATTGACAGATGAGACTGAAGATGAATTTGCAAATGAAGAATATATTGAAGAAACCAACAAAGACGCGGTACTGCTTGCTGCTGCGAAGTTAGTGATCAACAATGCTGTTTCCAGGGTAACTTTCCTTAGCTTTGATTTGTTGGGGGCTTTTATCAACATTATATTTGGATACACGAGCACATTGGCATCTGTGTGAGTGCTCTTTTCTGTATAACTGTGTACTCTTCTATACA